ACATTTCCAACAGGCTGAACTCACTTTCAAGTGCCTTGACTATAGCTGTTAAATAATTCAGTAACTGCATCCTGTCAATTGTAATGTATCTCAGGGCATTTGTGCAAACTTGGGGCACAAACACCCAAATAGAATTATGCAAGGAAAACCTTGTAATAATAACCCCCCAAAGGTTTATACTATAAGGAAGGAGGATTGCAGGGGGGGGGGGGGGGGGGAGCTGATGATTAAGGAGAATGACTTTCTACTGCCAGCAAATGAGACTGGAGAGCCTGATAGCAGCAACATCTCACAGGAGGCTTCCAGTGCTATTCTTCCCCACCAGTAAAGTAAATAGAGCAAAATCATTGTTGGCCAAGGGGCAGGAGTGTTGGTTTGATACTTAGGTTCATATTTGGAGAGGGAAACAATTGATAATGCAAGTAGCCCTGATTATGCTGATGTGAGTCAAATGCGAAAGAAACCTTTGATAGAGTATTATCATCTTTTTGCCTCATCACCCATTCATTTGAAATCCAATATAACTCTCAGCAAAATCCAGAACAGAAAATGGAGTATGAATCAGCTTTTCCTATACTGTTCCCAGATAAGTGTAACTTTGACCTTCAGTGTAAGAGGTCAATGACAATGAAGGCTTCATGATGAAAAGTTGTCAAAATTTTTAGAAAACAAAATACCTTGACTATGCGTGTGTGTATCTACCTCTACATTTAACCAAGACACCAACGGCTCATCTACATGAGCATTATAACCCAGACTCATCTTGATTTCACTTTTAGGTGTTTTTACAATATTTCCCCACTTTTGGTAAGTATCATGGAGTAAATTAGCTTAATCTGGTTTAGCCATCCATTAGAAAAAGTCAGGGAATGCCCCAGAGTCAGGGAATGCCTTTTAGATAGTGTGGGCTGCTGGATCAAGCCTGAATCAGACTAATCTGCTGTCCACCCAAAGCATCCTGACATCTCCTTTTCAGCACACTCATCAATGCAGAACAAAGGGGGAGATACTGGTTCTTTTCTTCTTCCTGGTCATGCAGGCACCTGCTGATGTGGGAAGTACCTGCAATGGCCAGGAGCTCACACAGAGCTCTGTGACTGTTTGGGTGTGGCAACGGTGGCATAGATGGTGAGATGATGGTCCATTATGACTGATGTGCAATCTCAGCCCAGCTGGATGGTATAGAATCCAACTCACTACTGCAGTGAGTTCAGAAAAAGAGGGGGGGGGCATATTGCTGCTACCACAGCCAGTCTGGAGCATTTCCCCCCATACTAGCCCAGATTTACTATCCAGTGTAAACTCATTTTAGATCAATAAATTATAAAAAAGCTTCACAATCATCTACTTAAAATGGGAAAACTGTGTTATGAGGCATTGACAATTACTACATAATCTAAATTCAAAGCAAATTCTCTACTAGTTTTTCAGTTTTCTTGCATGCGTGTAGTGATGTCAAGATGCATCACAAAACGGTAATCTTTATATAAACATGTAGTCTTTCAAAATGAAAGCACCTAGACCAACTTGACAGGGTGTAAAGGTGTGCTATAGTCTTGAAATGATTAGAAATCATGCCATGTAGCATGACATATTTTCAAAAGTTTCAGAAGAAACAAACAAAAAAACACCTTAGTTCATTTAGGTCCTAGATTGCCCACTTCGATCCAAAAACACTGAGTCCCTTATAGTCTATGATGAATATATTATAGATTTGGGATATAAAATATTATTCTAATACCAAATGGTAGGCTTTCCATTCATGAAAAAAGGGGATTTGTCTAATTAACATAGTTTTTGTGCATCTTAAGCTGTTTTGTTCCTAATGTTTTCATAGTTATGTCATTTTTTAAATAAAAAATCAGTGCTGAAACATTTTTCATTTTCATGATAAAATAATCAACTTCAGCATTTCTATGCTCTGCTTGTCTAGAAAATCACCCCAAGCTTCTCTTAAAGCCATTCAGTGGAGCTCTTCATAATAGCTTTATTATGCTTTTGTTCTGATTCATAAAGGTCTCCAACACCGAATCCCATGGTAACTGGTTTTCCTCGTAAGTATGGCTGTAGCAGCGTACAAATGGATAAGTCTTATTATGACACCAAGTGTATCTCTTTTCAAGTGCGAGAACGAGTCTAACTGTGCATTTCACAAGTCGAAAAGGCAAGAAATGCTGAGTACATGCCAAAATTAAATCAACACACATAAAGAAAAAGAAGACAAAGCATCAGTTCTAAAGGAAACACTCAACTCAGTTCACAAGTGATCCATTTATAACTCAGCAAGAAAAGAAAGCAGTTGAGATCAGCTTGATACTATATAATTAATATGTTTATGGAAGATTAACTGCTCTGAAACGTGTTACAATAAAATAAAATCAGTCTATAAAATATTGAGAGATCCACATACAAGTTTTGCACCTCCACTCTTGTTTGTAACTTAATTTATTTAACCAAATGTGTGTGTGTGTGTGTATCAGTGTCAAAACTCTGAAGACCTGAATTAATCTGTCCCACTTGTACTGTTAACACACCCTTGACATCTCATTACCAAAACATAAGATGTGACTTCAAGATTTAATGCAAAGAAAACGGCAATAGAATACAGTAAGGCTATGTGATATATTAGCTCTGCTTACTCTGCATGTTCTCTTGAAATAAGACTGTCTACGGAGAAAGAGAAGAGAGAAAGAAAGTAGGGCCATAGATCCTTTTTCACTTTCATCTGCTTCTATTACAGTTTATTTTGAGAAAACCAACAACATTCAGATAGTAAAGGTAAAGGTAAAGGTCTCCCCTTGACATTAAGTCTTGTTGTGTCCAATTCTGGAAGGTGGTGCTCACCTCCATTTCTAAGCCAAAGAGCCAGCGTGGTCTGTAGACACCACCTAGGTCATGTGGCACACATGACTGCATGGAGCACCATTACCTTTCCTACGGAATGATCGCTATTGATCTACTCACACTTGCACGTTTTTGAACTGCTAGGTTGGCAGAAGTTGGTGCTAACAGCGGGAGCTCACTCTGCCCCATGGATTAGAACCACCAACCTTCCAATCAGCAAGTTCAGCAGCTTATTGGTTTAACCTGCTGCGCCACCGCGGCCTCACTTTTGATAGTTTTCTGATTATTTTAAACCAATTGAACTGGAAATTACAGGTTATTTATAAAGGCTGTGCTGAAATGTGGGTGCAACTACATAATATGGCCTTTCCTCAGAACAGTAACCATAGTTTATTATTGTCACGGCATCTAGAAAAACTATCATTGCTTTTAACTAATATTTATTGAACCATTTTAAAGTAATGGTCAACTATGGCTTATAAAATTAATTTGTTTTCCTCTGAATGATACCAAAGATGAAACTATGATTCTATGAAACACATTTAATGATTTCACACAATGATTAATAAAGAATAAGTGTAAAAGAATCTGTTCTCTTCTATAGAACCAAAGCACAGGAAGCCAATAAAGGATAAGAAAAGATGTCCAACGTCAGTGAGTGCACACTAACAACCCTTTATTTTTCTGTCGAATCTGGCCCAGAAGAATGTCTGGCCATGGTTTGAAGGATTCCCTAATCTACAGAGTAAACAAAGTAAAACAAACAAACACCATTTTGTTCAAGATGCGGGTCTGAAGAAAGGAAAGAAATGTGCCCACAAATATGCAAGTAATTTGTGAGTAGTAAACCATGGCTTATTAACAAAGTATTTTAAAGCTGAATGCACTCTTTTCCATGAAATCTTTTGAGATGATGTTTCCTTTACATATGCACCTACACTTTAAATGGCCCAGTAATATCTGAAAAACAGCATTCTTATTGGGAAACATGATGTATGTCAACCACTTCCACCAAAACAATTTTGCCATTGTTTGGTGGAAATACACAGTAGAACATTTGAACAAAAATAACAGTAGATCACCAGGAATCAATACATATACTTAAAAATACAAATGTATAGTATTTAGAAACAACTTAACAAACCTTTTAATCAATTTCCTGCATACGGACAATTATTTTAATTAAATAATGTTCTAAGAGCATTTTGATTATTATGTAATTGGTTTATTTTATTTCCATTTTCTAGGTTTCCTTAATTTTCAGCATTACGTTTTGATCATTAGGAAGTTAGAATTTAAATAGCTTTCTAAATTATATGGAATTAGGCTCAATCAAACATCTGTCCTACTATTCATGAGCCAAAGACTAGATTCTTTGTCTGTTAATGTCTCATCAATATTATATAACTATTCCTACCTGAAGAATGTTTCAAGCATCATCTAGTAAAGGCAATAATCTTTTCTTGACTATAAATTTGCTTTATAAGCCAAATCAAGCTTCCAGCCAAGAAAACTAAGCAACACATCTATATTTAGTATTCCAAGTACATCGTTTCACCGATTGCACCTTTAAAAAGTGAAATGCAGTAACAGCTTTACAACTCTGCATACAAAATCATGTTACTTGCTTTCACAAAATATTTGGCATTTTATTACAAAAAACAGATTTCAGAACACGATAGTTAAAACCATACAAATTTTAAGGTTGATAAATCAAACTAAAATGATCCAACTGGAAGAATAAGCAAAAAGGTTATCCTATAATATGTTTCCACATAATTAGCTTTGTGTGACAGTAAATGACCTGCAGCAGTTTTTGCAATTCCATACTTCACAGAAATGCATTTATTCTTCATGCTGTTTCTTTAGCCTAGTCCTTGAGAAAAAAGCTCCACCAAGCAGATTCATAAGCCATGCAGTTTTATCACCTCCACAATTCTCACTGTGTATATTTCTTCTATCAAGTGTTTGCCCAAGATTCTTCATCAGGTAACAAATAAAAGGCAATAGGAAGGCAACTTTAAAATAATTTAGTGTCTGTGCTAAGAAAAAATAAATCCCATTCAATATGCAATATGTCACAGAAGAATGACCGATACAGTCTATTACCAATGCCAATCAGTTATGGAGAAACAACAAAGTAACTCATTCAATACCTAATGCTGTTCATGCTTCCAGTGTCAGATCCAAGTTTACATCTCTCCAGCTGGCTAGCCACAATCTGGCGTTCAGCCTCAAGTTCTCTTGTAAGCCTTTCAAACTGTAACTCCTGAAATACAAAACACAGACATTCATGTTACATTCTAGATAATATACAACAGAGAGCTTTTTAATTTGTTACTGGTATTAAAAGGAACCCCTTTCCCTTCCCTCCTACATATAGAGCAATCAAGATTTGATTTAAAATTCCCTGCTGAGCCACAATAGTGTTAAAGTTCTTTTGGAACATTACCCAGAAAAGCCTTCATGGGTAATCTGGTGGCATCTGACATAAACTAGGCAACTATAATATATCAGGGTTGAGGTAGAGATTCTGAATTTGGAATATTATGCCTAGAGAGATTCATCGTATCACCATAGCTAAACATGGCCGATTACAGTATCCTGGGAGGTATAGTCACAAAAAGAACTATCATCATGCTCTTCAATTTCACGAAGCTGCTGAATGTTTCTGTTCTCTGATTCTGTTTTTGTATTGGGTTCTGCTGATTCCACTTTTTATATTATATTTTGGTTCTTTTTTTGTATTATACACTTTAATACTCAATGGTAACCAATCTAGGACATATTCAATAGAGAAGATAACTTTGAATTCGCAAAGCATTATTAAAAGAACAAAAGGTAAAGGGAAGCACATAAATAAATCTGAAATCCTTCAAACAACAGATAGATCAAAACATTATACACATCATCATATGGAGAATGTGGTCCTGGCCACTTGAAAGAGACTACCTGTTAGAATGAGTAAGGTTCCCGAGTGAGTTATCTTAAATGTAGGTGAAATCGTCATAAAATAAAATACAACACACACACACACTAGTGGACAATGTTTCTATTATTGAATTTTGTTTTTAAATTGGGGTAGTAATAAAATAAAATGCAAATTAATACTCTCTCTCTCTCTCTCTATATATATATATATACACACACACATATACATATACATACACACACACACACCATTTACAATTCCAACCACCACCACCACAAGGATTATTTTCTTTTACATATTAATCCTTTCTGAGACAATCCTTCTAGATTTACATGCTGTATAACATTTGTATCCTATTTCTTATTAAAACATACAGCACAAATAAACCAAAGTCAGCCGCACACAAACACACACTAGAGGCCAACATTTCTGTTCTTCGATTCTTTTTTTATGTTCTCAGTTTCCTAAAGAGTTCATGGTCACACAAATTATGTATTTCTGTATCTGCTACCCCATAGTGTTAATTTCCATGGAGCCCAGGAGAAAGATAAGTGGGAGTAGAGAAGTAAATTCTCAATGAATTGATCCTCATCTACGAGGACAAATATTTACAGTATTTGTCTTCTCTATCTTCCTACTTGAAGACAGGACAAACATTCATCAGCAGTATATTTATATGTCCTGAAGTATATGGAGAAAAAACATATGGAGATTTGCACATACACAAAAATCTGCATAGAAAACACTGGACCTGTACAGTACACAATGTTTCCTTCTCAGGAAACCCATTTTCTGCTTGGGGAACAAGGTTTTTTTGCCTTCCAAACCCACAGATTTTCTTCTTGAAAAACATACTTTTGAACACTTTAGAATATAGAATACCAGGACAACATTCTGCAAAATTTTCAGTTTTAACATTCTTCATGACGGGATTTCCCCACTGTTGATACCACTTTTTCTTCTTCTTTTTTAAAAAAATAAAAATACATTTTTATTAGAGGAAAAAAAATACAGTTATATAGACATATATTATACACTTCCCCCTCTTTTATTTATCTATCTATTTACATTCACCCCGGTGGTGCAGTGGGTTAAACTCCTGCGCTGGCAGGACTGAAGACTGACAGGTCACAGGTTCAAATCCGGGGAGAGGTGGATGAGCTCCCTCTATTAGCTCCAGCTCCTCATGCGAGGACGTGAGAGAAGCCTCCCACAAGGATGATAAAAACATCAAATAATCCCGGAGTCCCCTGGGCAACATCCTTGCAGACGGCCAATTATCTCACACCAGAAATGACTTGCAGTATCTCAAGTCGCTCCTGACACGACCAACCCCCCCCCCCCAAAAAAACCCCCTGTGCTCCCCTTCTCCAGAGCCATCTCTTCTTCTAAAGTCCCACCAAAAATTCAATACTTCATTTGGAGGTAAATTCCCAACTTCTTTTTCCAATACTTTTTCTAGAAATTTTCTCCACATACTTTCAAGTCATTTTTTCTCCATAATCCATTCTTTAATTTTAAGTTTTATGTTAGTTCGTCATTCAGTGCCATTATCCAGACTTCTTTATACCACTGATGAATTTGTATTTTCATTTCTCCTTTCCAATATTTTGCAATTAATAATCTAGCTGTTGACACACCTTTTTCTTTGACCTGGGATCAGATCATTACATAAATTCATTTCATTTCTAAATGACAGCTATCATTCCCTTACTAATCAAACATTCCTCAAACAACCTGGCTCTACACAATAAAATATTTAGTACTGACTGAACAAAAAGAACAACAATAATTTCCATTAATCAGTCAATGCTTCTACAGAGCCAAAGCAGAACTAATTAACCATGGCTGGTGTGTGACCTAAATCCAACTTTTTTCTAAAATCAGCATTGGCAGTAAGAAATATAGAAGCGAGAAATATTTTTGCTTGGACTGAAAATAAAAAGGTAGCTTACCTTCTCTGTCATTTGTCATCATTTTTCTTTAACTACACTCTGTTTTTGTTTTCCATTGTTTATCATGAGTGATTTCATGAAATATTAATTTAAGACTACTGAAGCATGCTACACTGACAGGGTTTTTTTTTTTTTTAGAAATCCTGGTGGTAATAAAAGTTTTATGCAAATTACATCCCATTTTTTAAAAGAAAACTAAACAACAATGTCTCTGCAAATCTGCAGAGACTAGACTAGTGTGTGAAGTTAAATATAACCAAAATTACATTGAAAAGGATGATACTGACGAAGAGCTGGAGTGCCAGAATGATAGCATAACAACCTCAAAGAAAAGCAAGGGAGGTGACATTACAATGGTGTAATGACCTATCATGATAATAGGGAAAGACTTGGAGAGATGAAGTTCACAATAATGTCAAGGACAGAAGAAAAGAATGTATGCTTTCATAGAATCAGTCTCTGAAGAACACCACATATGTTATGAAAGGACACTTTTCACTTGTTATGAAACATTAAGGATCAACACAGAGTGAAAACACACTAAGCCATCCACATTTGTGGATTTCATTTTTTTTTGGATCTGATTAAAATGTTCTCTCTAGGAATCTCTAAGGGCCCTTTCAGACAGGCCCTATATCCCAGGATCTGATCCCAGATTTTCTGTTTATCCCAGATTATCTGGCAGTGCTGACTCAAATAATATAATCCAGTTTAAAGCAACTCTATAGTCAACTTCTGATGAAAGGTAAGGGGCTGCCTTACAGTAGGCATCCCATATTCACAAGGGTTGGGGTTATAGAAGACCCGCAAAAAAGGGGGGTGCAAATAAAAAAAACATGGCCATATAGCCCGAAAAAACCCACAAGAACTGAGTGATTCTGGCCATGAAAGCCTTCGACAATAAATAAAAAAACCTTTTTAGCTTGAAATAACACTTCTCTAGGAAATTCTAGGTGCTCCAGATAGGGCCGTAGCCAGAAAAAAAATTGGGAGGGTTTTTTTTTGAAAATTGGGGGGGGGGTTACAATTTCAGGGGGGGTTTGAAACCTGCCTCCTAGCTCACGCTAAAGCAAAGAGCACAGCAGGGGACAGGGCAGCCTTCAATAGCCTGCAGCTCTGCCCCTGTCAACCACCTCCACTAAGTCTGGTCTCCTTAATGAGAGCATTCAACCCCCCCCCCCCAAACTTGGCTGTTTTGCTACATCGGCTATTGCTGCAAGTAATGACAGTGTGAATTAATTGTCAATATTTGCTTGAGATAGTGCTTGCAGTTCTGGAGGGACTCTTAAGTTTTTGCATCTCATAGAGTTAGCATGGGGATTTGGTTAACCAGTTAAAATTCATGAGTAAACCAGGTTTTTTTAACCTGAAAAGTTTTTTGGGGGGCGGTTGAACCCCTAACCCCCCCCCCCCCCCCCCCCCCCCCCCCCCCCCCCCGGCTACAGGCCTGGTTCCCGAATGACTTTGTGGTTAAAAAGTGCCCTGGAGAGTTTAAAGATTCTTGGAGAGAACAAGTTAAATAAATCTATGAATATCTACATAAAGTAAACCTGCAAATGTGAAGGTCTGACTGCACACTTTTTAACAACAGTTCCTTTAGGTCTCTAGCTAATTAATTGCTTTCCCACCTTTTCCATTTTGTCTTGCAATATTTTACAACCGCTATGGCTCCTTTCATCTCTGCAAAATTACTCCAAAATGCATTCACACTTCAAAGTCATGAATCAATATTTGATAATATTCCTTGATATATTCATGATCTATTTATAATTTCACAGTTATATTCTTAATTTTAAAACCTTCACTTTTGCTCTGGCGGTCATCCATGCGCACCTGCCCATTAATTAAAACAACCAGTGTCTGTTTTAATTTTCTGAAATGAAGTACATGACAAGCATGGATGCTTCTTATGTTGTTGTACCCAGATTTTAGAATTAAACTGTTGCTTCTAAATATTCAACTTGCAAAATGGGTTGCTGTGGTATACTGTAGCTGTGGACAAGTCTACATAGTTACCACCAAATGCAATGCCCAAACACGAAGCAAGGAACATGAAAGGCACTGCAGACTACTTCAACCAGAGAAGTCAGACATAGCAAAGCACTTGATGAACCAACCTGGACATGGCATATTATTTGAGAATACATAAATGCTGGATAACCACCATGGCAGTCTACACAGATAAGCCATTGAAATCCACAAGCATGTGGACAATTTCAACAGAAAGGAGGAAACCGTGAAAATTAACAAAATCTGGCTACCAGTATTAAAAGATATTCTAAAATCAGGACAGCAAATAAAGAATAACCCTCAGATAACAGGTGAATTCCGGACAAGAATTGATCAGGGCCAGCTAATATCTCCCAACAAAGGATTCCCCCA